ATATATATATATATATATATATATATATATAGGTTACCGCGTTACTTCGATTTTCAATCTGAAACCGCTTCTAATTTTATCGCGTCGTTATTATTTTTCTCTATCTTTTTTTTTACTTTTTTTCTTTTCTTTTCGTAAGTCATTTGATTCCTTTTTTTTNNNNTTTTTTTTTTTATATATTAACAATAATTGCGACCGCGGAGCTATCGAATACTCTCTCGGCGCCGCGCAATTTCCCCTCGACGCCTCGGCATTTTAATTTTCTTTATAGTACAAAACAACTTATTTATACGTACCTATTAATACATAACTTACTTATATTATATAAATATATATTATTAGCAAGGGCCCTACTCACGATTCAACTATACTTTTACGACGAAAAGCGTAAAAAAAAACCGACAAATTGTAAACGACGATGCGGACGCTGTCGCGCAGAACGCTCTGTATAATTTTCTTCGTAACATGTAACCGAATACGTTGTGGCGCGGGATGAATGCTGTATTGCGCGTTGAGAGAGCGAGAGAACGGCGAGGACGATGAGTACGAGTCTACACGAATGTACTTACTTACTTACTTACGAGTGCGTGCCTGAGAGAGAGAGAGAAAGAAGAATGGGGAAGGAAGAGAGAGGCGACCGACGTTTCGAAGAAACGCAATAAAAATCTATATACATGCGTGTAGCGATTAAATCGTGCGGAACGTATTGTCTGTGTGCGTGTGGTGTGTGTATGTGTACGTATGTATGCGTGTGTGATTGCGAGTGAGAGAGCGAGAATGTGAGACAGACTGCAAGAGGAAAGAAAGAAAGAGTGCGGAATAAACGAAGAAGAGAGGATAGAGAAAGAAAGAGAGAAAGAAAGATGATGAAACGGAGATGACGCGAAAGAGTACCAATATTCTAAAGTAATTCTAATGATTGAATTAATAATTTGATAATTAATCGATATTGTACATCGTAAACGACGTAGCGTGTAGGATAATTAATCAACGAGAACTACGAACGCGGCGACGATAATTAATTCGTAATAAATTAATTATTATTACTCGAGGGATCGAGGAGCGAGGAGAGGAAGCGTGATCGGGCCACGCCGCGATTTTCGATTTATTCGTTATTCGTTGTATCATAATAAAGTCGAATGTTAATAGGCGCGTCTCGATCAGGCTTACGATCATCTATAAATAATCTAAAGTACGCCGCAACTGTCCACGCGATGCCGTCTATCTAACGAGAAGACGTGAATTCTCGCCGAAGATTGTCAAGCTCGAACATTCTCGTCCGAACGAGAAAAAAAAAAAAAGAAAAAGAAAAAGAAAAGAAAAAAAAATAAGGAATCGATCGGTAATCTTTTTATACGTCTAACGGCCATGATCGATTCGAATCATCCATCGTTTGTTCGTCGGAGCGGGAAATCGAGCTAGACGGGAACACACGGCACCATGTGGAAAGTCGATGTGGAGTAACGTGTCTAACCGAAGGAAGAAGAAGAAGAAGAAAAAGAAGAAGAAAAAGAAGAAGAATCGGGAACGTCGATCGATCGCCTCCGTGGATCGACGTTCTCGTCGATTTTTCTTCCTTCGTTTCGGGCTTTCGGGCCTGTTTAGACTGTCGATGAAAAAAAAAAAAAGAAAAATAGACAAAAAGAGGAAAAAAAGAGAGGAAAAATCGAGCGAAAAGAGGAAAAAGATCAACCGAATCAATCGATATAGGCGTATAAGTAAAGTGTAGATATATCATAGTTAGATACAACGATCTCAAGAGGACACCCAGTGTCGACGATCGCGATGAATCGAAAGGATGAGAAGGAAAAAACGGGGCATCGTCGACGATCGTAAAAGATGCTTCGGTTACAAATTAATCTCGTGGCACGTATTACCACGAATAATCGTTAAAGAGTCTGAGATTTAGCAAGGAATTATATATATAAATATATATATATATATACATTACGTACGTGTATATGTATACAGAGATTGAGAAGAAGAAGAAGAATACGAGATTATTATAAAGGGAGAAAGAATTAATCGGTTTGGCGCGATCGCGTGTTAAACGAACAATATGGTTGAATCGTGAATCCGTTCGTGTAACGTTTGTCATCGTTGCATTCATTCTCGATAACTTGGTTTCCCATTCCGAAATGTAAATTTAATCGTTCTCTTATCCTTTTTTCTTTTCTTTCTTGTTCATTTTCATACTTTCATCGCTCCATCGTCCATCCGCACACACACACACACACACACATACACACATATATATAATATATATATATAATATATATATATATATATTATATCTCCTCCCTCTTCCACTTTTTCTAACTTTTCACGTATCCTCGCGCATTCCATTTCCATTTCTTCCTTCCCCTCCCCCTCCCCCTCCCCCCTCCTCACCTTCCACTTTTTCTTTTCCTTCGTTATTATTCGCGATCATATTAGTATCGCGTTATTTATTTAGAGTTCGAGCGAGTATAAACTTACCGCCGGATGTGGAAGAGAATTAATTTAGGTATTCGCTCTTTTCACGTACCTGAAAGCCATCTGGCATAGCATATTTTTCCGAATCGCGAGTGAAATTCTTATCGCTCGAAAGCAGAACGTTACGATCCACCAACGCGGGCCACATTACCGATTCGCGATCGAGTTTGAGATGGCGCGAGAGTCGGATCGATCGGTTAACCATTCCAAACGATTTACCATTTATATTTTACACCACGTTTTCCTTCTATATTTACGATAGACTCGAAAGAACTCGCGAAAACATTGCACAAGATATATATATATATATATATATGTATGTATGTATGTATGTATGTATATGTATGTGTATATATATGTGTATGTATGTATGTATATATATATATATATATCGTCGAACCGCGCGCGATTAAAAACGCCTAGAATATCACTTTTCGATTATCTTTTTCGATCGCGCACATTTACACAGCGTCACTCGTGGCTGAAAATCTAAAATGGCTCTCGGGTACTGTACCGTAACGCTTCACTTCACGGTGGTTGCGATCTTTTCTCATCACCATCACGGTATTCCGCATTCTTTCGACGCGAGTTTTCCTTCGAAAATCGACGAAAACCGCGAAATCGATCGTTTGATGATGAAGAGAGTTCGAAAGAAAGAAAGAAAGAAAGAAAGAAAGAAAGAAAGGGAGAGAAAGAACGAGCGAGCGAGCGAACGAATGAGAGAGAGAGAGAGAAAGAATGTAAGTAAAGGAATGGAATGGGATTCTAGCGCCGCCAAATGAACGATCGTCGCAGTTCCAGATACGAGTTTTCGAGTGTTCAAAGGTCCATCGGCATCGAGTACACCGACGACAACTTCTAGCACAACGTCCAATCGTTCGTTGAACCGTGTTCATTGTTCGTTTTCGTTTGAACAAAAAAAAAAAAAAAAAAAAGAAGAAAAGCAAAATCCTTTGATTTCCATTCGTACCGGCGTATTCGTTCAATCGCCGGATACGTGCATTCGCGCGCGCGTGCATCATCCAATGTAATCTTCTTATCCTCACGTATCTTCTGTATCATCATCTGTCCCCTCGCTACTTTCGCTTATATGTACACATACACACACACATACACACATAAACACACATGCATACGTAAAATATACATACAAACAGCAGACATTACAAACGTCCGTTTTCTCGCCGCTGCACGCGCGACATCGAATCGACAACAACAAAGAGAAAAAAGAAAACACGAGAGAAAAGCGAAAAGAGAAGAAGAAGAAGAAGAAAAAAAAAAAGAAAAGGAAAAGGGAAACGAACGAGAGGCGCGTTTTCGTTAGTCACATTCGCGAGTGCTCGCTACTTCACCACCATTTTTCACCGTTTTATTGATCGACCTATGCTTTCTCGCGAATCTTCCCCTTCCCCCCCCCTCTCCCTTCATCCTCTCCCCCCCCCACGAGAACTTCAAGACGTACTAACCTATAGGACAAATTGTAGACAAATTTATTATCAAATAAAAATGAAAAAAAAATAAAAGCGACGTTTGAAAGGAAAAAAAAAAAAAAAAAAGAGTCTGTGTCTGTGTGGGATATATCTCTCTACTGATTCATTCCAATCCCTTCTAGAAAAAAAAAACTAAATAATGACGCGTGCGTGAATAAATTATACGCATATATCGTAAAATTCGTAGAGACGATACGGCAGGAGCGCACGTGTGATCGATATCGATCGAGTAACAGTTCGATTTACACGATATACCATATATATATATATATATATATATATATATATATATATATATACACTACTACGTACG